TGCTGAACGAGCTAACCTCGAGGGCCGTCCGCCAGCCTGTGGGAGCTGCCACTGCCCCATACACAAAACTGCCACCCCCATGCCCAGAGCCTTCTTCCTGTGGGCTCAGGGTTGTGGGTCTCCAATGGGGAGGAGGCAGCAAGGGCGGGAGGGGCTGGAGGAGGCAATAATCCCACACCCTCGCCCAGCTTCGGAGGAGCTGGTGCTGAGGCGGTTGCCATGGTGACAACAGCTCCCTGGTCAGGAGATTTTCTCTCCTTCCTCTCCTCCCTTTGCTCTTCTCCAAGCAGCAGTGGGAGCAGCAGGGGCCAGGTCTTCTCCCTCTCCTTAGTGACGGGCAGGGACCATAAACGAGGGTGGGCCCCATTGGCCACCTCTAGTCAGTCCAGGGCCAGCTGGACTGAGGATCTAGAAGGGACGTCCACGAGAAGGGGCTTGGAGAGTGTGAGCCGGGTGGCCTGGGTAAAAAGCAGGGTCCCTCCAGGGAGGGCCGAAGACCCCCGGGGCGCCTCTCTGAAACACCCTCATGGTTCAAGGCCCTGTCCTCCAATCCTCCGCCATCAAACAGTGTGTCGGTGCTGGAAGGCTGTTTGAGATCGTGTCCCCAGGCCACCCTCTGTCCTGTCCCCCTTGCCATTCCATGAAGGATCAGAGAAGGAAGTGACTTGGCCGGAGTCAAACAACAACGGAGCAAAGGCAAGAAAAGAAGCTCCTCTGCCCTCCACCACAGGGGAGGAGGACGCAGTCCACGTGGAGCTTTGGCACGACCCCTGTGGGGCAGCAGGAAGACGGGGGACAGGGTGCCACTACTGGGAGGCAGAATGAGGGGACTCGAGGCTCTGGCTGTGAGGGGCAAGGGGCACTGGCAGTGGCTGATGAGGTCTGGGTTGTCTGCTAGGGGTGATGTCCTGGGTTCATCCTCTAGCCAGGACAGAGGACGCCAAGTATGGGCTCTAGCGCTGGGGGTGGCTGGGGGTGGGGTGTACGGTGTCTATGAGGAGAAAAATCAGGAAGGGGTTCTTCCCTCCTCTCTCACGTGTGCTGGGAACTCTGCCTGGGTGGGGAGTGGTGACAGTTGGGGGCAACACGAGGAGGGTGTGGGCTCCTGTGGCGGTGGGGGCTGTCTTTGGGGAGGCCTAAGCATGAAGAGCTGAGCTGCTGGTGGGGCTCGGTGGTGTGGGTGGGGGCTCCCCCAGGGGTGGAAGGTTGTCATGGGGCCACCCACCTCGAGGGAAACAGGAGGGCGGTCACTGTACCTCTCCAGCACTAGTGACACCACACCCCCAGGTGTGTGTGCGTTTGTGTGTGCACGCGCGTGTGTGCGTGCCTGGGGAGGCGGCTGTCCAGGGCAATGGCGGTTTTTACCTTAGCTGGGGGTGGGGTGGGGAAGGGAGGCGACTTTGCCTCCTAGTCTGAACTTGTGTGTCCTGGATGGAGGAAGGGGTCCCTGCGTAGGCACGCGTCCAGACGCTGCCACCTACGGGCCAACCAGGGGTCAGGGAGATGAGTCAGGGGCCAGAGATGAGGCTGGGAGTCGAGGGAGGAGGTCCAGGGCTTCCCCCGGCGGAGTCGCTTAGAGCGTCGGTCCCACCCGCGTTACCTGAGGCCGCTCGCCGGGTCGCTGGATGGCTCCGAGCCTGGGCGGGCCGCGGGGACCGGGGCTGGCTGGCGGGCAGCTGTGCTCTCTAAGGTCCGGGCTGGGGCCGCCTCCCAGCTCTTGTATCACTATGTGCCTCTAGAAGGCGACGCGATTTGCATAAACCCCTCCCCATCCCGGGCAGATTGGACGTCGATTGGCTCCGCAGGGGCGAAATGGCAGGCGGGGTTTC